GAGAGAGAGGGAGAGAGAGAGAGAGAGAGAGAGAGAGAGAGAGAGAGAGAGAGAGAGAGAGAGAGAGAACAAAACAAAAAAAGAAAAAAGGGCTGGGAGATGGCTCAGTGGTTAAGAGCACTTGCTCAGGACCCAAGCTCAGTCACTGCCCAGCACCTATGTCAGGAGGCTCCCAACTTGTAATTCAAGCTCAAGAGGATATAATAAACTCCTCTTCTGGTATCCACAGGCACCTGCACACGTGCCCATATATATATACATATATACACAGACATAGACACACAGTTAAGAATACAATTAAAATAACAATGAAAAAGCCAAGAAAATATCTGAAATTGTCCTTTGATTTCCACCCACTGCCCAGAAGTCCAGTCAAGCGCTCTTGTCCTGTGGAGAAACACAAAATCACACTGCGTTGCTAAAGAGATCCCTTGGGCTTTCTCTCAGAAGCTTTTGTTGCATAGAAATTTCTCATGATTGCGCCCTCCTGGGAGCTCAGCAATCCTTCTGAGATGTACTCTCAGACACATGCTTCATCTTGAAATGCTACCCAATTAGCTGGTCTAAAAGTCTCTTCCAGACTCGGCAGTACTGTAATTATCTCGTCTGGCTTTTAGTCTCCTACATGAAATCTTAACACAGAGGCTGGTCTTTACCGAGGTCACAGGTTTTAAACATGTTACAGTGGAAATACAGAAGTCAGGGAAGTCTTAACAAGCCTAGATGGAAATACATTAAAACGGTGACAGCCTTTTCAAATGGTTGGGAGGATTTATGTCTAATCTAATCTTGATTGTGGTTCATTAGACCTTTATTCTCTCCAAGTTTGTTGGTTTCATAACATATTATTTTTTAATTTTTTTTCTTGAGACAGGGTTTCTCTGTATAACTTTGGAGCCTGTCCTGGCACTAGCTCTGTAGACCAGGCTGGCCTCGAACTTACAGAGATCTGCCTGCCTCTGCCTTCTAAGTGCTGGGATTAAAGGTGTGCGCCACCACTGCCCAGCCCCCTATTGTTATTTTTAATATTACATTTCTTCATTTGTGGGTGTGAATGTGGGCACACATGAAAGTCAGATGATAACTCGGTGATGTTAATCCTCTTCCATCTAGGGAATCAGACACAGGCCATCAGGCACGGTGGCAAATGCTTTTACTGCTGAGCCATCCTGCCAGCCCCAATACATACTACTATTTAAGAGGGTGTAAGAGAGCAAGCTACATAAGAAGATTCTCAAGAATACCAGATAATTATGATCCTATATACACAAACAATGTCTCATATTTGAGGGCTAGAAAAAGTTCCCCTTTCTCTCACAATCCACTGGGACAACATAAAATTCATGATAATAACTTAAAAAGATAAATAGCATTTTAAAAGAAAATAAAGAAAAGCACATTCCCTTTTAGGGATGACTAACTCAGCAAAATGTAACCAGGCATTTGAAACTCAACAGTCACAGAGCACCATTAAATATTCACACACACAAGTATCCAGGCAGCATGATGATCCATGTCCTTAGTCACAGACACCAGGCAGACTCAGAGCAAGGTGGACACTCAGCTCATGGAGTTGGGGCCCACATGGATGATGACATGCTTCTCGTAAGCCCTTCTCATCGTTTTCTCAATCTGCTTCAGAAAAACCTGGGGGATCCGTCCACACAGTGTGTGCACTGTCTCCAAAAACTTCAGCTGGAGAGGGTAGTACATGGATTGAAAAAGATTGTCTTGAAAGGGAAACTGCAAGAGAAAGAAAGAAAGAAAGAAAGAAAGAAAGAAAGAAAGAAAGAAAGAAAGAGCTTGTTATTCCAGTGCGGTTTAAAACACAAATTTCTGTTGGTAAAACACTAAGTTTTGACCCAGTGGTTCAGCCCCATGGAATCATGCAACTCTCTGGCCCTCCTGTAGTTCTGTTTTCTCTATCCTTCTTTGAAATACGGTCTCCTCTAGCTGAGAATGACCTTAAACTTAGAATCCTTCTGCCTCCATCTCTAGTGTGTTGGGATTACAACATATACCACAATGCCCTGTTTTCTTTTTCTTTTTTGGTTTTTTTGGTCTCTGTATAGCTTTGGAGCCTATCCTGGCACTCACTCTGTAGACCAGACTGGCCTCAAACTCACAGAGACCCACCTGCCTCTGCCTCTGCCTCCCAAGTGCTGGAATTATAGGCATGCACCACCACTACCAGGCTAATTTTGAGTTTTTTAAGTTCACTCATTATTGGACATTTGAAAATCTGTCTTGTTTAATGTCTCTTATTTTCCCATGCAACATATGAATGAGCAGTATTTTCCAAAGTAAACCTTTTGGGCTACTTAGAAACTAGCATGTGGCAAACTTTATCACCATCCTGCTGAAAGAGAAAGGGCAGCTGGTAGATCAAATCAGAGTTTGACCCATGCCAATGAAAAGCCCAAGGAGAAAAGAGGGAAGAACAGAAAGGTTAAGACGCAGGACACTCTAGCCCCAGAGCACAGTGGATGGGGCTGGATCTCCTTTCCTAGGACACGTCTTTCAGTCGTTCAAGGTCATCAGAAACATTGCCTCAGCATGTGGATCAGCAAAGTGATGCAGGTAATTTGAGAATGAGCCACACCAGCTCAGGCTTGGGACACCACTGCTTCCCTCACAGCCCTCAGGCAACCAACCGAAAGTCCCATGGCTTCTATTGCCACAGCCCCATCTCCCTGCCGTCTCACTTCCACACAAACAAACTCCCGCTAGCTCAGCTCTCACCCGTATGGCTGCTATCAACCCCAAACCGCCCTGGTGCCTCCCTCTTGCAAGCCTGCAATTAGTTGACACAAGCCACCCTAAATCACAGCTGACACTTTCCTGCCCAGACTTCCCACTGCAGTCTATCTCTTGCTTCAAAGGCTCCAGGTGAGCTGGAGTACTGCCGCATCTTCTCCCCTCCCATTATTTCTCCATGGCGGTTGAGGTGACTTAGCCTGGTGTGCTCTGGGCACACGGCCTTCACTCTCACCTCGGAGAGTTTCCTGATTGTGTCTTCTTGTTGGCAGGATCTTCCCCATGAATGCCTCCATCTGACTGAGTTTTAGGCTGGCATGGGGCTTCCCCGGAAACCTGGCTGTTAAAACATCCCCCTGTAGCCAGGTCTCTGCTCCTCTTAGAACTTCAACACTTTTCGCTTCCAATAGGCTCCTTCTGTTTGTTACGGGAAACTTTTGCATTCTCTGGCTTTCTCTACTGGAACAGAGATTCTTGACCATAGGGCTTGATCTATATTGCTAGCTTCCAAATCCAGACAACTGGAAGTATTCCTATATAAACTAGGTTTTGTAGATGCCCGTTGAAAGAATTGCTGAAGAATATCTGCCTGATGACCTTTTGGAGGGTCATGATGAGAGCTGTTATATCCATCCACCCATCACACAAACACATAAAGACAGGGTAAGGCTGTGTGCATATGAGAAAGAAAGACAGCAAGCTAGGGAAAGAAACAGATGTGGAACATTTGCCATTAAAATGTCTACATACTGACTACAACTGTCAGGTGTGTGATTAAAGGTTAAAGGCCATTACTTTTTTGTTGTTGTTGTTGTTTTTGTTTTTTGTTTGTTTTTTTTTCGAGACAGGGTTTCTCTGTGGCTTTTTTGGAGGCTGTCCTGGAACTAGCTCTTGTAGACCAGGCTGGTCTCGAACTCACAGAGATCCGCGTGCCTCTGCCTCCCGAGTGCTGGGATTAAAGGTGTGCGCCACCAATGCCCGACTGGCCATTATTTTGTTAATCCTCATAACTACCTCATTAGGAAATTTTATTTATATAAAAGTATTCATTAACACTTTTAAAAAGCGCGAGTGCACACACGCATATGTGTGTGTGCACATACGCACACATGCTCACATTGGCCAGAAGAGGTTGTTGGATCCCCTGGAGCTGGAGTTGTAGGTGGTCATGAGCCACCTGACATGGATGCTAGGAACAGAGCTTGGGTCTTGTGGAAGAGCAAACACTCTTTACTTCTGTGTCACTCCCAGCCCCTGGAAGGTAACATTATTATCTTCATTTTATAATGAGGTAATCAACTAAGGCTCAGTAAGGTAACACCAGTTAATGACTAAACAGAGAGTGGTGGGATTGGGGTTTGAGCCCAGGTCTGCCCAGGCGGAAAGCCAGCTCTGATCCTTTACCTTATGATGAGAACACCATAGCCCTGGAGAAAAAGGTGCAGACAGAGCAATACAGCTTTACAATAGAGTGTCTTCACGCCTATGCTGATCTTGGAGTTGGTGACTGCCCTGATGCAAATGCCTGAATGAAAACTTTTGAGGCCAAACTGCAGAACTCCATGGAGTGATTATACACAACCGTTTAAGAAAGCAAAGTCATTTGGCTGCCTTTCTGATCCCCTGAGAACAAACCAGATGAGTCATAACTCAGCCACAATTGCTCAATTCCAAAGCAGGGCCAGAACACAAGGGAAAGTGGAGCGGGCTCCAGCAAGCCCACACAGCTACATGCTTTCTTGACTTCCACCCGTGCTGGGGATGGGATTCCCCTTGAGGCAGTGTTTGAGTAACCAAGTGTGAGAATGTCACTGAGTGCATAACAGATTGTGTAATTTAATCACTTGCCCTTTGAAAACTAAACAGCAGGAAACAGGAGACAAGGTGCTCGCATAGATGCATGTCAAGTGATCCCCTATGGGGAGGACAGCTCTGGGATTTCCAGAACCGGAATTCTTTAGCAAATGCTCATCTTCATACACACAGGGATGGACTGCAGCTGCGGGATGGCTCAGTGAGTCACAAAGATGAATGGCAAACAGGAAGATGGCTCAGTGGGTAAAGTGCTTGACACAAAGTATGACATTCTATGTCTGGATCTCCAGAACCCACGAAAAGCCTGGCCACAGTAGCATGTAGGATATATCTACAATCCCTATGCTCTTACGGGAGATGGGGGAATCCCCAGAAGCCCAAGGACCAGCTAGCCTGGTACCTGAAGCAGTGAACCACAAAGAGACCCTGTCTCCACAGGCAGAAGATAAACAGCATCCGAAGTTATTCTCTGACCTCCACCCAGGGCTGCTACATGTGCATATCTGAATGCCGGCACTAGGTTCCCAGACTTTCAAGAAGAAATACAAATATTTAATAAGGTCTCTATGGGGGGGGGGATTAACAGTTCTTGTCAGGGGAGAGGTAGACAGCAAATCCTTTTGGTATTGTGGACCCTACAGTCACAACTACTAACTTCTGCTGTCAGTGCCAATGCAGCCAGTGACACTGAGTTCTCCCATGACTTTGTTTATGAATGCTGAATTGCAAATCTCCTAAAGATTCGTCATGTTGAAAATTTTGCTGATCCACACTCTGTATCTTGGAGGGACAATTTAAGGAAGGTATGCCTCACAACTACCTGCTGCTGGTTTCCTACCAGCAATCTCAATCTCAAGATAAAAGGTAATGGGCAACACAGAACTTCCCAAGTTCACATAGTCCTGAACTGCTCCTTAATACCTGTCCACTCCTCTCTTCAAGGAGGAAAGATTCTGTATGAGATTCTACTCCCTCCAACACTGTACATAATACCATCCCTAATCCATGGGGGATGCATTCCTACATACTTGGCAGATGACTGGAACATGATGAGTACTGAACCCTGCAAACTGGATGATACCCTGCGGCTACTACAGCACTAGTGGGTGGGTAATCTATACAGTGTGGCTACAGGTACAAAGAGGTGACTCACATCCCTGCAGGACAGAGCAGGATGGCATCAAATTCCATCGTGTTCCTGGGAACAGCACACAATTCACAACTTGTGAAGCATGGAATTCTGAAATTTTCCATGTAATATTTTTGAGTCATGGTCCTGGGGACGGGGGCTTTGTCTACCGTATGTGACCTTGGAGAGCAACCAAATACAGCTATAGGGCTTGCCTGGCAGACCCTGTGGGAGGGGCTGTTCTTTCAGAGTTAGCTTTCCAGTGGGATCAATATGGGTAAGTACTCAGGCCTTGTGCACTGCCAAGCCATATCCACATGCACACCGGAATGCCTAGCCTGGATGCTCACTTCCGGAGGCCTCCCTGTTGGGGTACCTTGGCTGAGGCACTTTCCTCAGAATTCAGAATCTTATTGGTCCTAACCTTGTCCTCTAGCTCCCCATTCCTGGCTCATGGTCCATAAGGTACAGGAGTGTTTTCATCAGGGCCTCTTGGCTATGAGAGGATTCTTACCATCTAGGTTGTCTCCACACACAACTCATACCCCCACATATCCCCTTTCATGGTAAAAATGGCAGACACCTCTTTTTGCTTGCATTGTTAAGTCAATAAAAGCTTGGTGGGCTGGGAATATGGCTCAGTTGGCAAAGGGTTTTGCTATGTGTGTGTTGGTGTACACCTGTAACCTCAGGACTGGGGAGGTGAAAACAGAAGATCTCTGGGTTTACTAGACAAACTAGTGAGCTCTAGGTTATGTCTCATGTACATTCACCCACACATACACATGCAACAGACACAAACATGTACACACACAGACACATAAAGAAAAGAAGAAGAAGAAGAAGAAGAAGAAGAAGAAGAAGAAGAAGAGCAATTGCTGCTTTCAGTGTGGTAACTTCTAATTGGCCAGCGTGAGACATACACGATTGCTTAAGAGCTTGCAGCTGGTAACCAGGCAACATGCTTAGCTTGAACTAAATAAAACAATCTCAATTTTGTTGCAGTCTCCTTATCCTGAACTCATACTCCATAGGATGGCAAAAGGCACAGGAATTCTCTCTGGGAGTACTTGGCCTTCCAAGTCTGCACAGACCGTAACACTTGAAGCACTGCTTGCTGGCAAGCATGTTTCTGTTTTGAAGAACACACTTACATCCCGGATTGCTTCATAAAGGGCTCGGAAAGTGGGCTGCTTATCGTCATGGTAGACGCCACGGTTGCCATGCAGCACAGACACACCTTCCCGCTCAGCCTCTTTGCAGTTGCTTCCATACATGCAATGATCAGGGCGGTAGTTCCACTGGCAGGGGAACACATAGAGACACTCTGGTGGCAGAGGAAGAGATACAGCTACAATCAGTGCCAGCTGTCACCTGTATGTCTGGAGCTTAAAACTTAACATTTATGAACCACACACCGTGCACAATTTCAATGTTTAGGAGTGTGATTATGAGTCCCAGGTCAAATACATCACACTTGCTTAAATTCTGAGATCAATAATGGAAGGGGCACCCATTAGTGATGATATAGGGAGGCCGAACACTATCTAAAATAAGAAGTTATACCAGGGCATCAAACAGCCTAGTGTCCTAGTTGGCTTCTCTGTTGCTGTGATAAACACCATGACCAAAATCAACTTGGAGAGGAAAGGGTTTATTTCATATCAACTTCCAGGTTAACAGTTTATCACCAAGGGAAGTCAGAGCAGGAACTCAAGGCAGGAACCTGGAGTCAGGCACTGAAGCAGAAGCCATGGAGGAGTGCTGCTTACCGGCTTGGTCCCCATGGTTTGCCTAGTTTGCTTTCCTATATAATGCTGGACCACTTGTGTTACCTAGGTAGCATCACCCACGCCCTCCACATTGAGCATTAATCTAGAAAATGCCCCACAGATGTGCTCACAGGCAAACATGATGGAATTAATTCCTCAACTGTGGTTTTTCCATAGGTAACTCTAATTTGTGTCAAACTGACAAAAACTAACCAGCATGCTTATGTCTGACCCCCAACTTCTCACCCAATAACAGTGAATTTGGAGTCAGTTACTTCACTTCTCTACACCGCAGTCCCGTCATTTGTAAAATGAAACAGGATATCCCTAATTTCAATTATTTAAAATTTAAAATACACCAGGATGAGGATGAGAAGTTGTACAACATTCATGAAGCCCTAAGTTCAATTCCTAGGAGCTCAAGAAGAAAAAAATGAGATACATAGCAAATGTAACACAGAGTACCAAGCACACAGGACTGCTCAAGAGTATCAGCAATGACTCATTCCTTTGGAAAGGTTTTGTGACATGGACAGACTCACAAAATAGGAGTTGAGATTAAAATAAACAGTTCTCTTCAACTTAAAAATAAACCAAATAAACTGGGCGTTGGTGGCGCACGCCTTTAATCCCAGCACTTGGGAGACAGAAGCAGGCAGATCTCCGTGAGTTCGAGACCAGCCTGGTCTACTACAAGAGCTAGTTCCAGGACAGCCTCCAAAATGCCACAGAGAAACCCTGTCTTGAAAAACCAAAAGAAAAAAAAAATTCTTTGTGTAGGCTCCAAAGAGCCTATCCTGGCACTAACACTGTAGACCAGGCTGGCCTCGAACTCACAAAGATCCGCCTGCCTCTGCCTCCCTAGTGCTGGGATTAAAGGTGTGTGCCTCCAATGCCTGGCCCAAATATAGAACTTCTAGTGAGGCGCTACCTCATAATGGCGCCACATCCGTCCAGAACATCAGAACATGCTGGGATTAACCATCCAAACACATGAGTCTAGAAGGAGCATTTTTTTGTTCAAACCACAACATGGATGAACACAGCACACAGTACAACCTTTCCTAGACATGCAGGATCATTCCTTACCATTTTGTGGCCTACACATCTCTTTGAGAATTTTATATAAGCTTTACACCCCGAGTATGGAAAACTACAACAGGGGGTGGGGACACAGACGTAAAAAAAAATTTGTTTATAAGATCAGGGTCTTGCTTGTCTCCTAAATATCAGCTATGTACTCCAGCTGCCAAACCTCAAATACGACACAGAACTCAGAAGAAATTCAATTCACACCTTGACAGAATTTCCTGGGGCAAAAAAAAAAAAAAGCAAAATATTGTACATGTAATCACAAGAAGGATCTGTCCTCTTTGTCACTGCAGGACAGTGGCATCCTATTTGACAATTTCATTCAAATGTAGGCTTTAGTCAGGATGCAATTCTGACAGAAACAGAAGCTTGGAAGAACACTCCAGGAAGCAAATGGTTTGATCATGTTAAATTTTTAGAAATCAGAGTGTGTTCTAGGAGATAAGTCACCTTGGTTTTGTCGGAGAGAAGATCTCTCCAATGGGGAAGGATAGTAGAGGAGCTGCTGTAAATGCATTGGTCTGAAGTAGTCAGGACGTGGAAATCTGTGTTGGGTTGCAGATGACTAAGCAGTTCATAAAATCTGAGGTGAGGCTGAACTGGAGCCAGAAGTGGGGCAGCTCTCAGGTTCTGGGGAGGTAACTAATAGATGTCAGGTTTTTAGCCCTGCTGCCTGGGTGAACCAGCCATGGATTCTGCTCTTAGGTTTGCAAGATTTAGAAACCAGGGAATGGTTGGTCTGACTGGTTTAGCAGGGAATCACTGGAGGGCAGGGCTCTTGGACATGTGAGATGGGGAAAGAGCTATTCCAACCAGCAATGGAGGCACTGTTACCAAAAGAAAGGGCAATCAACAGTAGGAAGATCAAAAGAACAGATGTGGTCTAGGGGATAGCTTGGTGGGCAAAGCACTTGCTGTTTGAGCCTGAGAGTCTGATTTGATCCCCAGAACTCATGTAAAAATAGCCAGGCATGGTAGCATCTTTGCATTCTGAAGCAGAGAAATCAGATCCTGCGGTTCACTGTCCAGCCAGCCTAGCCTATGTGACAAGTTCCAGGCCAATGAGTGATCCAGTCCCCAAAACCAAGGTGTAAAATGCCTAGAAACAACACCCATGATTGTCCTCTGGCCTCTACACATATCACACATGTGTACCCTTGCACAAGTGTACTTTCCCATGTACACCCACACACATCCACACCCTCCGAATACTTAGATGTGTCCGTTTATTTACAGGTTGACTTTGTAAATCTGAACTGTCCATCTTGTGACCAGGAGGAAGAGGAGCAAAAGGACTAGGATAGCATCACTGAGAGGGCTGAAGACAGGCTACACAATGAGACCCTGTCCAAAAATAAGTAAAAAAATAAAAACATGAAAATTAAGACACCTTTTCTTGAAGCCCATGGGCTTTGCTATTTTCTCTCTCAAAGTTACATTAAAAGGGTCCTTAACTGGTTCTCTATTGGTGCTATTCCTTTATGATAGTTACAACAGCCCACAAAGTGCCAGGGCTCCCTTGCAGCTCTGATGATTCATACACAGTTGGTGCTGAAGATTATAGAAAGTTTGTGCCTGATCATTTTAACTTCATAGAAAGACAAGTTTGCCACTCAATTACTACCACCTACCAAAGGAACTGAGGCTTCTGCACCAGGATAACTGTGTTTGGTTGTTGTGGTGGTGCACACCTGTAATCCCAGCACTCGGGAGGCAGAGACAGCCAGTGTGCGTAGGGAGATGCTTATTTTCACTCTGTGTGAGAGTGTGTGTGCACACAAATGCTGGATGGATGGATGAGCCAATGAATGAATAAGTGAACGTTATGCCTTCATATACCAAAAGTATCTCTGTCCCATCTCCTGCTGGATGCTTCTTTCTCTCCCTACTTCCCTTTTCCCTCAGTTCCCTTGTTGTGATTTTGTTTTTCTTCCACTTAGTCACTCTATTTTCTTGATTCTACACATTCAACCAACCAACACTCCTGAGTCCTTGAACTGAAACAACAAATCCCAAAACATGAACCATGTGTTCTCACATGGACCCTACAATATTTGTTCTTGTCTCTTGTGCTTTACATAAGTCAGGGCTCATGAGCTTCCCAGTTCACCATGCCCAGAACAGCCCTAATGGGAAGTTATTGAGCTGATCACCCTCACACACACTATGCAATACTTCCTGAGGCTGGGTGCTTTACTGTGGTGTTCATTTATATAGCCAAACAGCCAAGGCCAGAGCTGTGGGGTCCTGGGAAGGATAAGTAAGGACCTACAATGAGGCCACCAAAGAGTGTGTGTGTGACTATAGGCCCTGCTACCTGTGTCCTCCAGAGATCTCCTGATTCCCTAGCTTTGCACACTCCACTCCTGGTCTGGCTATATACATTCCAGTGGCAGGCTGGCTCTTCTCTCTCCCTTAGAGAATTATACTTCTGCTCTGGTGGGATACTCTGCCCTGACATCCACACCTGATGTACTTCCCTTTCTTTGCAGTATTTTCTGAAAAATTGCCCAAAATGGCAGCAGATCTATGCAGTGAGTGTGGAAAGCTTTGCTCCTCAGGTCCCTTGCCACCAGATTAAGGTTGGTCTCCACAGCTGGGCTATTTCTCTCCCACTTGAATTAGGAACTATTAGAAAACCATCCTTGCCTGGCGTTGGTGGCGCATGCCTTTAATCCCAGCACTCAGGAGGCAGAGGCAGGCAGATCTCTGTGAGTTCAAGGCCAGCCTGGTCTCCAGAGCAAGTGCCAGGATAGGCTCCAAAGCTACACAGAGAAACCCTGTCTCAAAAAACAAACAAACAAACAAACAAACAAACCAAAAAAATAAAAAAGGAAGAAGAAAACCATCCTTAACTTGGGGATTGTGGTGCATTCCTTCAATTTCAACACTTAGGAGGCAGAGTCAGGCAGATCTCTGTGAGTTCAAAGTTAGCTTGGTCTACAGACAAAGTTCCAGGATTAGCCAGGGCTACATAGAGAAACTCTGTCTCTAAAAACAAAACAAAGAAAGAAACAAAAAAAAAAAAAAGAAAAGAAAATCATCCTTATTTGCCATGGTCTCTTCTGATTTTATTGGCTGACAAGCGCAAACCAAGAATTCTGTCAGAGACACTGGAATCTTGTAAGAAAAGATGCCAGAGCCCAGGAGTACTCTGAGGCCTCAAGAAATCATTGCAGTCCATAGCAGCATCCCAAAGACCTCTCCCAGAAAGCTTGGCATCATCTGATCCTCATGGCCATCTCTGTCCTTTGTAGCTGGTCTGAGTAGAGTTCTAATGCCCGAGATGGAAGCCCATTCATTCCAACACAGAGCTCCCTTGAGTTTTGGTTAGCTTTGCTTTCTCTACTAAATTCTGCCCATGACTCAAACTCACCTGTCAAGGTATGAGCTCAGGGGCTGAATAGATGGCTAGGCTGGTATAGTGCTTGTCTTGCAAGCATGAAGACCTGAGTTCAATTCCTAGCACCCATGTAAAAGGCCAGGTACAGCAGCATACACCTGTAACTCTAGGGCTGGGGAAACGGAAATGGGGATGATTCTTCCAAGTTTGATGGACAGCCAGTCTAGCCAGAATGGCAAGCTACAGATTCAATGAAAGAGCCTGTTTCAAAAAAATTAGATAATATGACTGAGGAAGACACCCAAAGACAACCTCTGGCTTCCACACACACGTACCCACACACATGTATCTATATACATAAACACACACACACACACACACACACACACACACACACACACACACACACACACACAATGTGAATTCAGCCTTTCATCCTAGACGAAGCTGCCTTTGTTCACATATTAAGAAATGTCCTTGTGGGACCAGCTACCTACACAGTCCCTATGGGCTTCAGTCACCTCCACTTGAGTCAGTCTGTAACCTAGCCACACCATTTCATACTTATACAGATTTTACAATCTAATTACAGCAGGAAGTTTACAACAGTCTTTAGCTAATGACTTTTAAACACATTTCAGTAAGCAGGTTACTGGCTACAGGGGACTGGCATCACCAGGACACAGCAGCCCTGTGCTGCAGGTTTTATGTTCATGGCTTCATCCATAGCAACCCAATAAGCCACAACAATAAACATATTTATCTCCTAGGTCACTGCCAATATCACCACATTCCTCTTTACAATGCTAAAGGTGACACAATATATATATATATATATATATATATATATATATATATATATA